CCTAGCTTTTGATTTGCTTTATTTACTGCTTTATTTACATGGTGTTTCCATTCCAAATCATCTGAAATGTACACTCCTAAATCCTTTTCCATGCTTGTGTAGGCTAAAGCTGTATTATTCATTAAAACTTTGTGCTAGCTATTTCTTATTATCATAGCCTTACATTTTTGCTGGTTGAATTTCATCAGCCACTCATTCGACCATTCCATTAATAAGTCTATATCTTGATGAAGTTCAATGACGTCATTATCGTTTTTTATTGCTTTAAAGATTTTTATGTCGTCAGCAAATAGTTTACAGCTTGATTTTATTTTGTTGCAGATATCATTAATATACACTACAAATAATAGTGGTCCTAGCACTGATCCTTGTGGTACTCCACTCACGACCTCTTCCCATTCTGATTTATTATTTCCTATCACTACTCTTTGAAGTCTGTTCTTTAAAAATCCCTGGCACTAGTCAAATAGTTTTGATTTAAAACCAAGAGCATTCAAATTTAATAATAATCTTTCGTGATCAACTGAATCAAACGCTTTGGCTAAGTCCAGAAACAAAACTATTACATCTATTATAATATATCTCTATCATAGAGTCTATAATAACATAATTATTTACAATATTTCTTATTTAACAGTTATTATAAGTCAAGGCCGACGACATGGGTTTTGAAGTGAGGGGGGGGGGAAGGGCACAACCGTCAATTCTTAAAAAAAGTTGTCTAAATCTAGATTTTTCTTTAATTTTAAAAAGAAAAAGGTCCTTTAGAAAAAAAGTAGGGAAGGAGGATACAGTAAATAGTTAATATATAAATATTTTTACCGCATATAGTAAATATATATATATATATATATATATATATATATATATATATATATATATATATATATATATATATATATATATATATATATATATATATATATATATATATATATAATTAATTTGATTTTATTAATTTTATATATATATATTTACAATTTTTTTTATTAATAGTCTCACTGGAAGTGAAAGAGTTTATCTCATTAGAGTCTGTATTTAGTGTTTGTCTGATAATGAATTCGAAGTTATATTAAATACTTGTGATGGTCGATCTTCTTTTTGAAATAGCCATTCTAATATTCTATTAGAACTTGGAACTTCATAGAAAGTAACAAATATGGTACTTTCATTTCCACATCTACTCATAGCAAATTAAAATTTTTTTGTTTTTCATGATGTAGCTAAAGCTGATGAGAAACACATTAGCGGAAGATATTTTGTTTAATTCTGAAAAAAAAAAAATGCTGGAAATATATTAAGTATTTAAAAAAGCTTTAAGACGCAGAAGGTCTAGAGACGCAGAAGATCTGAGACTTGGTATTAAACTTTAATCTCAACATATAGATTAGGCAACATAAAAGTTTAACCTTGCATCTTGAGTGTTTAGTTCCAGTGTTGCTGATGCTATCAAATTCTGTTGGACCAAACTTAACTTTTTCTATCCTTTCCATTTATTTATTAACTTTTACATAAATAAATCCACTTTAAATAGTTGTATTTTATTACAAGCATTAATAAAATATACCTGCATTTCTTTTGGTTTCTCTTTTGTTTTCTTGTATAATATTTTACCAGATTTATTATTAATTAACCATTATTTATCAGCATACAACTGGTAAATGTAAGTTGAATTAATAATAACTTGTAATTTCTATTCCTTTAAGATTTATATAAATCTGATTTACATAAGATTTTTGAAAACCATATCTTTACTCTGGTTAAGTTACTTGCTAAGTGCTCCTAAAAAAAAAAGATTGTATCAATTTGGAAAATTAAAATCTACTAAAGTTTCACAAGTCTTATTCAAAATTCAATCAAAGTAACAAATCACGTAGAACTTATATTTTATAGTTTTGACGATTATCTTTTTATGATGCTTTTTGAAAATCTTTTTGTATTATTATTGTTTGAGAGTTTCTATTTTCCTAGGGTAACAATATTCTATGAAAATGATTTTCGGTTGAGTATATATGCATATAAATGAAAAAAAAAAAAACTTTCAGGGAACCCACTGTAATACATTAATTTATATTATAACTTGATAGGACAGGTGCATGTTCTTTATGCCTTTTTTCATTTATACCATATGCATCCTACAATCTTTCGTGTAAAATAGCAGTCATAAAAACAGCAGAAAAATAGCTTAGTGAAAACTTGAAAAAGCTCTAACTTTAGTGTTTATAAAGTTTTTCATACTTTCTATATGTGTAATTATAGTTTAGAGAATGTATAAATCTTGTTTGGAGCAAGTCTTCTATTGTCACCTGGTAATGGTTCTTTTTGTAAGGCATTTATAGTTTTCATTTTTTCTTCAACAGAAATTTTTTCATCGAATAATGGGAGAGCAGCTTGATCTTTACTTAAACACCATAACTGAAGTTTAATTTTATTTTTTGCAACATTTGCTATCAACTTGACAATAGTTCTCGATTTCTTTTAAAAAATGAGATCATTCTTTGGTGCTTTTGTTGTCAGAGGTTCTAAAAATGAGAAAAATGCATATATTGTGGTTAGGAAGACATATTCTTCTTAAAACCCCAATTTCTTTCTCTATGATATTTACCTGATGACGTAAACCGAAAAATTTTTATAATCACGTGGTTGCGTTTCCTCTAAGTATTTTTTCAAATTTTCTACCACATTGGATTTTCGAGATGCAAGCCACTCTTTTTCAAACATTGGAAGGCATCCAGTTCCGTTTTTATTACTTTTAAGTGATTTAAATTTTGATTTTCTATTAGTTCTTAGTGGGACTTCACTCTACCAAAAAGTTCAATATTTGATACAAAAAACGCGTCAAACACTGAATTTGCACAGATTTCAGGAATATGATGTCAACAGGCTAAAAACAAAACTCTTCGATTCATTGAATTATGTATGACAGTTATGGCCCCATTATGAATTCCTTTATTACTTGCAGTTGTGTCAAAGCAAAAACCTACAAGATGCTCCTCAAAGCCAGGCCATTCATAAATGAACTCAACTACCTTTTGTCCCATTAAAGCGTCAGTACCAGTAAGTATCTCAGAGATCCCTAATAATTTCTCAATTCCAAGCCAGATACAACAATTGGCAGACATTCGCGTCTAATTCTACCAACATACGACAACATTTTACCATCAAAATCAGCAACTAGTGGAACCAAGAGTTGAATATTTTTCTTACTTCTAATTCAAGAAAATCACGGAATGTAGTACAAGCTTTCATTAGAGTGGAACGCGAAAATAATTATTTATTTACATCAATACCGATTGCAGCTAGGGCTGGTGTGACAACCATCATTGCTTGTAGTGGTGTTTTTTTCTGCCTAATGCTGTCGTGGTTTTATGTTCTGCCTAATGCTGCATGAAAGAGTTGATAGTCAAGAATGCAAAGTTTGGATATTTTAATTGAGAGTTGACTAGTGGCCATAGTAGAATGTTTTGAATTATTCGTACGAGTAAAAGCTTTTTGTGTTTGAATTGATATATCACAGTCAGAATTTTCATCCAAAGAGTAATCTGAATTGTAACACATTAATGTATCTGTAGATATAACTTTAGATATAACTTCACTTTTTTATGTTGTTCGAAGCACCTTTTTTCTTCAAGCTTTCGTTTTCTATATTTTACTACTGCTTTCTTATACGTTTAGTCTTATACAAAAAGTGTATTCATCTTGGCAGCGAATTTTTATTAATAGCTATGTTGAGTAACTAATTTTCTACTTCTTTGCTTAGATACTTTAACATGTTGTTTATGAATACTCTTTAGTTTAACAACTACATGAGGCTTTGCTATAGTTGGAATATTAGCCTTAAGCCAGAAAATTATAACTTCATTTGCAACTGTGTTGCAAGATATCAAAAGAATTGGCTTTTTGACTATCATTTCATGAAAAACTCTACATAGGGCAACAACACTTGTTGGCAACTACCCAGCAAACATATCAGCGTTGAATCAACGTTGAAAACCAGTCGCAGCGTAGAAAAAGCGTTACAGTCACAAAACAACGTGTTTTCAACGTTGAATCAATGTCTGTTTTTGTATACTAAATTGCGGAAAATTGATACGTTGAATAAGCATCGAAAGTGTAACGTAATTTAGCTTTTCGAAATAAAACGTTTATTCAACGTGGAATCAACTTACGCAAAAAGCCACTTAAAAAACGTTTTAAAGCACATGCTTTATCAACGTTAAAAACAAACCGCTTTTTAAACGTTACATTTTCTACGTTGAATAGGCGTATAAATTTAAACGTATCTTATCTTCTCAAAAAATCTCATGTCTAGTCAGTCATTTTTATTAAAAAATATAAAAATTAACATGATAGTTTAGAAATTTTATTAAGGAATTATTATCAAGATTTAAAAGTGTAATATTTTTATAGTTTTAGATTTATTTATTGTTTTATTAAGAGTTTGTATAAGAGTTTTATTAAGTATCTGTATGCAGACCTACGATTTCTCTCCCATTTGGCTGGAGTTTTCTGAATTTTGAAAAGAAATTTATCTCTAAACGGCATTTAAAAATAATTTGAAAAACTCATTAGTAACCTAAAATACAGTAAGCTTTCAACTTTTTGAATTGTTTTTATTTTATAAATTAAGAAATGGTTAAAGATTGTTAAAAATTGATCAAAAGTGGCCAAATTTGGACATTTTTAAGTTAGTTGTCAGAGTAATAAATTGTTAAAAAACTTTTTTAGTCGGTAGAGGTATTTTAGAGAGCAAATATCGTGTGACATAAAAATTTTTCCAAGTCTCCCTCGTAAATATTTTCAAAACATGACAGATATGTGTATACACATAGTAAAAAAATTATATATTCATTTGTATATACATAAATAATATATATATATATATATATATATATATATATATATATATATATATATATATATATATATATATATATATATATATATATATATATATATATATATATATATATATATATATATATATATGTATATGTATATGTAAACAAAACAAATGCTGCCTGTTTAGATAATCTATTATTATGGCTTCCTAATCTTGGGATTTAGTTTTTTATTTTATAAACAGGGTTAAAGCAGAGGCATTAATTCCATCTTGTTTGGTGAAAGATGGATGGTTATTTTGTCAAACTGGTTTTCATGCAATGAAAGCTGTTTATAATTGATGATTTCTACAACAAGCTCATACTTAAAAAAGTTAAAGTAACTGGACGTCATTAAATTTTACAATGCTCATTGCTATTTTAGTTGTTTTATATGATTAAAAAAACTATTACAGTTTTATATTAACGGTGAACTACTATATTAAATAAACTATTTAATTTTTATTTTGGAATAAGTAGTATTTTGAATCTGTTTATAGTATTATTATTGCCTAGATATATATTGCAATCTTTTTACACTTATTATACATATTTTTGTTTATATTTATTTTACTAAATAATTACAAATAGATAAAGAAGGATTTAATTTCCCAACTACAGAGTACTCTAAAGAATGTAAGTAATTTTGTTTGTGAATACTTTGAATACTTTTGTTTTGAATACTTGAATACTTTTTTTTTTCTTTTGATTTAACTTTTCTTTTTTTTTATATGGTAAAGAATAAAAAAAACATCTAATATTAACTATTGGTAATAACTGATTTCAATATTACTGTCTAAATTATTTGACTTGTGGTAGTTTGATTACCAGTGTAAGTTTATTTAGTAAAGTTTTGGTAGATCAAAGATGATATGGTTTTAACTGGTTTTAATCCTATGAACAAAGTACATATTATTTAAATTTATAATTTATAGTTACACCTATTGAAGTATTTAATTTTGTTTAGATAATTAATGTATGGATATATGACTATTTTTAGTTGTAAAATTTATATATATATATATATATATATATATATATATATATATATATATATATATATATATATATATATATATATATACAGTAAACTCCCGTTATATATTTACTGTATATAACATATACAGTAAATATATATGTGTGTATGTATATATATATATATATATACACACACACACACATATACAGTAAACCCGGTTATTCAAACTTCCAAGGGGTATAAGAATTTAGTTCGAATAACTGAAAATGATCTTTAAAGTGACCTTTTTCAAGTTACTTTTAAATTTTGATAAAAGTAAAAAGTAAAAAAAAAAGAACTTTGGAATGAGATGTTTCTTTAGTTTTTTCCTTGTAAAACAATAAATGTTTTACTTTATTGAAAAATTGTCCATTTTTCTTTTTTTTTTCTTCTTTAAATGTGTTTTGTTTATAGTATAGGGGAAGAAAATAATATATATATATATATATATATATATATATATATATATATATATATATATATATATATATATATATATATATATATATATTTATATATATATATATATATATATATATATATATATATATATATATATATATATAAGTATATATATATATATATATATATATATATATATATATATATATATATATATATATGAATATATATATATATATATACATATACATATATATATATATATATATATATATATATATATATATATATATATATATATATATATATATATATATATATATATAAATATGTATATAAATATATATATATATATATATATATATATATATATATATATATATTAGGGCTGTACCGGATTTCGGCTCCGGCTCCTGCTCCGGCCAAAATCCGGCCATTTTTACAAATCCGGCCCAAATCTGGCTCCGGCAAAAATTTAGCAAATCCGGCATAATATTAGCCGGAGTTTTGAATTTTGTCAAATATTTATTACATTTTTTTTGCCCGTGTTTACATGTATACCTAATATTTTATTTATAAAATTCAATTTTTTTTGTAATTCTATATTTTATGAACCTCATATTTGTTTTGGTATTTGTATTTATATTTCTTTATAATTTAATAAGCTAAGTCTAATTTAAAACAACTACGCAGCAAAAAGTTCTGAAGGGAAGACACACGATATTCTAGAATGATGCAGGTATAAAGACTATGATGTCAACCCTAATCAAGTGATTGGATGAGCGTTTTAAAAGCATTGAAAAGAGAAACCTCTTTATATACTGACGAGGCTGGTTGACTCACAATTTAAAATTAAATTCTCCTCATTACAGGCAACACTGACAGCTGAAAAAACAAGATTGAAGTCAATCTGAGCATGCTGAACAGAAGATTGACAAAACTAAAGAAAATCCACCAAAATAAGCAGGGCTTAATAATTTTTCTACATCATCATCATCATTACTCTGGCAATTTATTGATAAAATTATTCAGTCTACGTCCGCTGGTGGCAGGGCACATAAACAACAATTACTAAAAGGCATTGAAACTCAGCTAAGGAAATATCCGAAAGAACCAGAAATAAATAGACACAATGATCCACTACAGTGGCAGAATGACAAAATCCCGGAAAAAAATTTCAATAGAATTACTATAAACTTTTAAAACATATGGCCTATAGAATTTCTTTAGAATTTCTATTAATTTATATATAGAAATTGCTATAAAACTTTTTAAATAACAACAATGAAGTTTAACAGAAAACAGCAGTCACTTGGTATTCTGAATAGTCCACATTGTTGACCATGCTCAACACCAATTAGGGATGTACAGGATTTTGGCTCCTGTAGTTTTGTTTTGAAATCCGGCTCCGGCTCCAATTCCGGCCGAATCTGTCAGTAGAAATCCGGCAAATCCGGCTCCGGCCGGATTTGAAAAAATTAAATCCGGTACAGCCCTAATATATATGTATATAAATATATATGTATATATTTATTTTTACAAATAATGTTTTTTATTCTTGACATGTTTTGTAAAATTTATTTTCATTTTCAAAAGTTTATTTTACAATAATAAAACTCTGAATAAAAAAATTAAAATTAAAAAGTAGAAGTCTTTACAGAAAAAATAAGCAACAAAAATTTATATTATAAACTAATATATTTATTGCAAAATAACTAACTCTAAAAAAAAATATATATATATATATATAAATAATAATAAACTCACTGTAAAATTAAATAGTTAAGTTTATAGCATAATGTGAAGTTTGTTTGAGGAATTTCCCTATTTAATGTAGAGGATTTCTTTTATCTTTAATTTGTGTTTTGTTGATGCTTTATCCAACATCTCAAAAGAATCACAGTTAGCCAGATTTTTGAAATTAATAGATAAATTTAAGTGTTTTAATATATGAGATTGTTTATCACTTTTAAGGTGCTCATTTATTCTGGTTGCCAAATGTCTTAAGAAACCTCCAGATGTTTAGCAGACATTTTTTCAGAGTTTTATTATTGTAAAATAATCTTTTAAAAATTTAAATAAATTTTACAAAACATTAGTAAGAGACCAGGGCCTTAGGCACAGCTAAAAATGAGACTTTTTGCAAACCTGGCCCCGCCAAAATTATAAGATTTAGCATTGGTTGATAGCCGGGTCTAGAAAAAAATTAATAATACTTAATATATTCTAATTTTATGCTTACCTTTACTATTTATTAAATACTGGCATATATTTATATATTTTAAAATCTAATTTACTTCTAACAAGATTGCAAGCAACCACTATTAAGTAATAAGTTACTTTCGAATAGAGAGCCAGTTAAAATACTAGAAAACCTATAACTAAAAACATAAAATGTTGTGTTGTATAAAAAAGGAAAACATGAAGTTTTGTAAGAGTTAAAAAGTTTTTTTGATGTTCAACAAAAAAAATTGAATTAATTATCATGATGTAAAAAGATTTTATAGCATGAAGGGACAAATACAGTTAAAGGATGCAACTTGTTGAATAAATAGCCAATTGAGAATGAGTTTTGGTTTATCGTTATAGAGATGATAGTTTGTTTGAGCATTGACTATGATTGTATTTGTAGAAAAAAGAAAGAAATACATCCTAATAACAATGATTGAGTGGTCCAACCTTGGCAGATAAAACTGATCTTATTACATTTACAATGTGCTTTTAGACTTTGTCTAAGAGTAAGAGAGTTGTTATTTGTCAATATAGGAATGCCAACAACATTGTAATATTTTTTTGCTGTTATTAAATGAGTTTTGTTGTCTAACAAAAATGGTGGATTTTAAGTCCAGAATTTAAATCCATAAACCACAACAAGCGTTAGGCTGTTACAGAAATGAGGTCAGATTTAAAATTGGCTGCTTGTTCTAAGCAATTAAAGATAATTTTTTGTCAAGACAAGAGTATAAAGTGGAGTCATCAGCAAATAGAGTCACTTTAGATTTCATTATGATTGTTATTCTAGATAAAAAATATTAAAGGAGCAAATATAGAACCTTGTGGTTCTCTTAAAGTTACTCGAAATAAAGAAGAGGCTAGGCCCTCAAGAATAACATTACTACTGCAGTTAGAAAGAAATAAGTTAATAACCTCAAAACCTTTACATAGGAAATTATAAGAAACTGATAACAGAGTGAAGAGTAATCGTATGATACTTGGAGAGGTCAAGGTGTTTTCTAGAGTTTTGAAAAATCGGAACCATGTATTTAGAGAGTTCTGAAAAACACTTTTTTAAGACTATGATGGAAATGATGTCTGAAGCACAAACGGTAGAAGTGTTTAATTGAGAATTAATTTTAGTATTGGAAGCCAGAGTAATTTTGATGTTTAACTATAGATTATTCTGTTTAACTGTCAGGAAGAGTATGTCCATTATATTTAAAAGTAAACAAGAGTAAGATTTCTTTTTAAATAGCTCTAATTTACTCTGGGCTAAGCGTTAGACTTACTTGAGTTAATAACACTGTTAAAAATTAACCAAAAGTTTCTAGAACCTAACATTTAAGATAAGATACAAGGTTTAGTAAATTGAGAATAACAGAGATTTACATCAGACAAGACTTTATTTATACATGTACTTATTGTAATAATAAAAAGGACAGTTTGTTCTTAAGAGAGATATTCTTATAAAAAAGATTAAAATGTTGAAAGATGTAGAGTAGAATGAGGCTTGACTTAAAACTGAAGAGAAGTAATAAAAGCTTCCAAACTTTTATTCCAGAAGCAATATAAGCCTCCAAGATGCACTTTTTGCGCACATATTATGAATATAATCATATCTGTTTGCTATTTGTTCAGATGCTGGCATACAATATCCTTTCATTACTATATAAACTTTAGTATTTATTTAATGTAGTATTTTCCAAAAGAGAAGATGATCAGATGGATGTGTGGTGTGACTCTAACTAGACATAAGAAGGAGGCATAATCTTAGACAGATTTTTTTTAGAAAAGGTTAAAGTAATTTAGGTATCAACATTTAGAGTGGTAGCAACTTCAGTATAAAATGGTTGTAGTAGAAGTCAGAAAATTTAAAGAGTTTACCTTACATATTGTATAAATAAGCTTTAGTTAGGAATAAAAGTGTACTAGATTGTTTATACTAGGGAAACAGCTTAAAAGATGAAGGAAAAAGCCTAATGGTGACAATGATGATAATAAAGATGATGATGATGATCATGAACATGATGATGATGATCATCATCATCATAATTTTTCTTATCATCGTCAAGCTTTTTGCTTTTGTGCTGTTGATGAAAATGATGATTATGATGATCATGTTGATCACAATGATGTTCATATATGCATATATATACAATATATAACATGAATTTTAAATTTAAAAAATTGTTTTTTAGGATATATAAATGTTTATGCAGCACTGGTCACAAACCTATTTTTTATCAAACCTGGCCCCGGCCCCGGTAAAATATCATACCCGATCGTTTACTACAAAACATTTCAAGAATAAAAGACATCGTATTATTTTTAGACATAATTACTTATTTTACGCCATTACGACGACCTATATATATATATATATATATATATATATATATATATATATATATATATATATATATATATATATATATATATATATATATATATATATATATATATATATATATATATATATATATATATACATATATATATATATATATATATACATATATATATATATATAAATATATATATATATAAATATATATATATATATATATATATATATATATTTATATATATATATATATATATATATGTATATATATATATATATATATATATATATATGTATATATATATATATATATATATATATATTTATATATATATATATATATATATATATATATATATATGTATATATATATATATATATATAATATATATATATATGTATATATATATATATATTTATATATATATATATATATATATATATATATATATATATATATATATATATATATATATATAAATATATATATATATATATATATATATATATTTAATTTTTCTTTTTAAGTTTAATAATTATCATTCTAATTTTAAACATTTGCTTTCAGACTGCTAATGATACAAATTTTATTTTTTGATTTAGATTCTGTATCACAATGATATCCTGGCCTATCAATACGATATCCTGTAAATCCACTCACACACATAAATCTTTTAAAAAATGCCTATATTTTTATCTATATATCTATAAATTGTATATTTTATATAAATAAACTGTATATTTTTAAATATTTCATTGTATATTACTGTTTTTATTAAAAATCAATAAGAAATGTTACAAGTACAGAGTTCAACATACAATTTAGTTTTATTTGCCAATTCAATATATATCATAGCCAAGTTTAATTACATTTAATAACATTTTGCGATATTTTCTCCAGCGCATTTAAGCGTTGATTCAACGTTATATTTCAACCTTTACTCGACGTCTTTGAGTCACGTTAAATCGACGTTTTATTGCCAACGTTACAAATCCTTGCAAAATCGACTACTTTAACAACGTTACAGTAACACTTTTTAAGTAACGTTTTTTCAACGTTAAATTGCGACGCTTATTCAACGCTTTTTAAGTAACACTTTTTCAACGTTTATTTGCGACATTTTTGTAACGTCTTTTAGCAACGTTTTTTCAACGTTACGCTACAACGTTTAATCAACGACTCTTTAACAACGTTACATATCTTTGCAAAATCGATTACTTTGTCAACGTTTCCGCAACATCTTTTGCGACCGGTTTTCAACGTTGGTTCAACGTTGACATGTTTGCTGGGTATATATATCTTTATACCTTTATATCTTTATCTTTCTCAAAACACTAATGTATTTTTATGCGTATCTTTTTTGAACTCTAAATGCGCGTAATTTTATTTTGTTGCAAATAATTTTTTTATATAGTTCTATTGTCCTGTTGTTTGCTTTGTATTTTGTCTTTGTAATATGCATTAGTTACCATGTTTTTTTGTCAGTTAATTATTGTCAAAATAATACTATAATGATATATTGTCCCATGATGTATTGCTGTTAGTAAACACTAACAGTTTGTTTGTTTTAAATTAAAAATTAGAATACTAAGTTTTTATAAAGATAATATCTAAGAGTAATAGTAGAAATCTCTAAGTAAGACCTACACCAATTTTTAAACACTTTTTTCGAGATTGAATTCAAAATTCACTTTTATAAGACTGTAAGTTCCTCTATATTTATTAAGTCCGTAAACTGTATAAGCGAGGCAAGCATACATAGTTCTGTTCGAGCTTCAAATTGTGCCACGTCATATCCACGCATTTTCTTTGTATGACCTTATATGTTTGTGCATGATTTATTCCTTATTTTTCAAGCATTATTTGAAACGCCTTTTCCCATGCTATAATTGAGTAGTTTTTAAAAAGTTGACCTGTGTCCATTGTGTTATTTCCTATGCACCTAAGTTCTCAGAGCTCCCCCTCTTCTCAATTTTTTGCGTTATAAGTAATGAGTTTAATATACGTTGACAATTTTAAATTTGTGCCTAAATTAATATGCTTGAGGTCTGTCCTGTTACAAAATATATAGATCTACTTCTTTGATAAAAATAATATTTTCTTATATCAGTTACATTTTCTCTTCTCTCGTTCTAAGCTTGAGGTCTTATTATTACTTTTTCACTTCGTATTTTGTTTCCTAAGAACATGTTTTTCTATCTTTGTTTTAATTTTTATTCTTATTAACTTAATTTCTTAAAAAACAAGTCTCACGTATATATTTCTCATGTATGCGCGCGTTTTCCCATCACACACTTACGTCTTTTTGTATTTTATTTTTTATTGTACAAAATTATTAATATTCTCACAAATTTAAAATGTTCTCATACTGCTACATAAATAGCGAATTTTTTTAGTAAAGGATTTTTTATAGATTACATACCCTAACCAAAACCCTTTGCACTTGGGAGTAAGCTCCTTTGCGCCAATTCCTACTTTAATTCAGTCGATGTATGCACACTCAACAGCGCCAATCCCTACTTTAAGTCAGTCGATGTATGCACACTCCGCTGCGCCTTTCCCTATTTAAGTCAGTCGATTTATGCATACTCTACTGCATCCGTTCCTACTTTAGTCAGCTGCAAAACAAAAACCAAAAACACTCTACAAGCGCCTTTCGTATTTTTAATCGATCAATACAAGTACACTACACTGTACAAGTCTTCTCACTCATAAGTCACAGTAACATCATTCTAAACGCTTGTCTTTATTTATTACACACACATGCTGAAAACTATTAAAAGTTTATATTACCAGTCATACTCCTTTACTGATAGAAACCTATTGAAATACATTTCTCTAAAGTATAGACCTTTTTAAAAAATACAACTTTTAAAATTTTACATTGTATAATATTAAATCTTTGCATATGATAACATTGTTTACCTCCTTCAGTTAGGTACAATATAATGCATGTTATTTTGCTTTAGTTTTGTGCTTTTATAACTGGACATCTGTCCAAACACTTTGTAATAATCTTGAGCTAACTCTGACTCTAATATGATCCGTGCTTTTTCTTCACTGAGGCTCCCACGGCTGCATGTGTTCCGCTAAAGTAACTGGTTTTCGAGTCCAGTTATGAATTATAAACAATTTTTTACCACTGTCCCCGAGTATCTGGGATCAAAGATATAGAAATGATAAATAAATATATAAAAAAATAAAATAAAAACCCCTTTTACTCGTTTTCCGTTAGGAAGAGATATGAGGAGCACTAGGCAACGACTTTTTCCTACATTAATCTCTACAGTACAACTTTTTGTCTCTTTATTTTTGATAATTTATATTTGTTATTTTTGTTTACCCTTAATCCTAAAAGTTTTTGTTTGTTCAAAAGTTGTTTTACGTACATATCTCTTTTTTACGCTCACTTATTCATATGTTTTATCTACTTGTCTGACTAAGTGAAACACTTTCAGTCATGATTCATCTCTTTACTAATCGAAACCAACCCTGCATGCTTAGGGTTATAGTCGATGTTTAATCATTCTCTTGTTTTACACACGCTTTTCGAGATAGAATTCAAAATTACTTCTATAAGACTGTAAGTTCCTCTATTTTAAGTAAGTTCATAAATTGTATAAGCGAGGCAAGCATACACATTTCTGTTCGAGCTTCAAATTGTGTCATGTCATATACACGCATTTTTTCTGTACAACCTTATATGTTTGTGCATTATTTATTCCTTATTTTTCAAGCATTATTTGAAACGCTTTTTCTCATGTTTTATTTAAGTAATTTTAAAAGCTGACCTGGGTCCATTGTGTTATTTCCTGTGCGCTTAAGTTCTCACAGCTCCCCCTCCTCTCCATTTTTTGCGTTATAAGTAATGAGTTTAATATACATAGACAATTTTAAAATTTGTTTCTAAATTAATGTGCTTCTACACTTGAGGTCCTGTAATAAAATATATATAGATCTACTTCTTTAATAAAATAATATTTTCTTATATCAGTCATATCTTCTCTTCTCTCGTTTTAAGTTTGAGGTCTTATAAATACTTTTTTACTTCGTATTTTATTTCCTTAGAATATGTCTTTCTATCTTTGTTTTTAAAAAAATTTTATACTTAAGACTTAAAAAACAAGTCTCAAGTATATATTTCTCATGTACGTGCGCGTTCTCCCATCCCACGCTTATGTCTTTTTTATTTTATTTTTGATTGTATAAAAGAATTAAATTCTCACAAATTGAATATGTTCACATACTGCTACGCAAATAGCGAGCTTTTTTCAGAAAAATAATTTTTTATAGATTGCCTACCCAAAACCAAAACCCTTTGCACTTGCGAGTAAGCTTTATTGCGCCAATTCCTATTTAAGTCAGGCGATGTATGCACACTCCGCTGCGCCAATTCCTATTTAAGTCAGTCGATGCATGCACACTCAGCTGCGCCAATCCCTATTTAAGTCAGTCGATAGATAACCATTCTCCTGATTCACACTTTTTTCGAGATTGAATTCAAATTCACTTCTATAAGACTGTAAGTTCCTCTATTTGAAATTAAGTTCATAAATTGTGTAAGCGAGGCAAACATACACATTTCTGTTCGAGCTTTAAATTGTGTAATGTCGCATACACGCATTTTTCTCTACTTTCTAAAAAGGAAAACAAACATACACGTACTATGCCCATCATAGTCTAATCATGCCACGTCACTCGGGCGATAGTCATTACATTTCTTCTTTTACATATTAATTGCGCGCACTTTTTGACTTTTTAGTTTCACCCCTTTGCTTGTAAAATATGCGTAAACAATTTTTAAAATTTTAAATATAAAGTACTTTGCTTGAAGTTTTGTGCTTTTTTACTGGACATCTGTCCAACATCTTTGTAATTTTTATTTGTAATGCTGACTCTAATTTAATCTTTTCTCTTTCTTCCCTCAGGCTTCTACAGCCTATTGTGTTCCATTAAAGTAACTGGTTTTCGAGTTCAGTTATGAATTATAAGCAACATATAAAAAAAAGAATATATATATATAAATATATATATGTATATATATATATATATATATATATATATATATATATATATATATATATATATATATATATATATATATATATATATATATATATATATATATGTATACATATATATTCTATTTTTTATATTCAATTCTTATGATGACTTTAATCTTTTATAAGATATTTGTGTGTGTGTGTGTGTGTGTGTGTGTTATTTGATTAAGTAAAAGATAAAAAATGGCGTCATTGTTGAAAAGATCTATTTTAACGTCATAATGGATAAAGCTGGTTGACAAGTATGAAGCTGGCTGACAAATATTCTAAAAAAACAATAGCATATAGTTTCCAAGTTTTGGTGAGAAAATAATATAATAAGAAATGAAAATTCAAATTTATATTACAATTAAATTACGACCCTTAGTTTTGTAAATAAACATAATTAACTTTAAAATAATTAAAAAACAAAAACCGTTAATTATTTTGAAACCGGTAATTGTTTTGAAAATACTAATAGACAAAGTACGTAAATAGATACAAAATAAACAGATTATAAATATTTGCAATATACCCGTTGAGAAATTAGCTAATGACTAGCTAGCTTTATAGCGATTTTTAAGCGAGTTTTTTTTCTTATTTTATTTTTTCTAATATCTTTGACATCTTCAAAAATTCGATTTTTCTTTTTGAGTCTATTATGATTATGAGGATAATTGAACTTTAAACATTGCGGTTTCGTAGCAATGTGTCGATTGCTACATATCGTGGCTTTGTAGCTAGCTACAAAATATTTGGTTGATAGCTACATATCCGAATTTTTTTCAAAGAGCGAATTTATTACGATATGACGCTAGCTACAATAACCAGTAAGTTTTTAGCTTATGAAGCTACCTGTCCTTGTAGCCAAACCGCTGTTCTTATTATAACAAATATCGATAACTTAAAAAAAACTAGTGATCCTTTAGGCAAAACATGAACGTAAACATTTTTGCAAATAAGATTTTACTGTATATAGTTGTTTCAACAGCATTTAAATGTTTTTTTAAATAGTGAAGTTGTTTAAATTTTTATTTATACACCTAACTTATACTTAAGAAACTGTTGTTAAATTACACATAAGAAACTGTTGTTACTAACTAATAAATAAATGCAAAAATACAAATAAAATTTTTATTTTGAAAAAATGGTTTCAACTATGATAAATTTTTTATAAAGTTTGAAACTGCATAAATTTTATCATTAAACATAAACCATTGTTAATATATTACTATTTACATTTAAAAATAAATATATAGAGATGTATAAAATTATTACGTCCCTAGTATAAATATATATACAATTATTACGCCATTAGTAAAAATATACAAAACTATTACAACCTCAGTAAAAATATATAAATTATCCTCACCCCTAGTGTAAATGAATAAAATCATCACACCCCTAGTACATAAATATATAAACTTATCAGACCCCTAGTATAAATATATATAAACTTATCAGACCCCTAGTATAAATATATATAAAATTATCAGACCCCTAGTATAAATATATAAAATTATGACAACTCTACTATAAATATAACGTTATAACGCCCCAACTATAAATATTAGACTTGTACATTTTGGTTTCTATATCATTAAATTACAAGTGTGATAAATAAAAGCATGTTGTAGTTTTTAGTGTTGTGGTTTATGGCATTGTATTATACACTTATATATAAACTTAATTACATATATTTAAGATTTAAAATATACTTTAGGATACGTAACAATCAAAGTAAAGATCTAGTCAAATTCAATTAAATTAATTTCAATCTCTTCATAAATGTGCAAATCATAAAAACTGTTATCATCCTTGCTGTGATTCTTCATCGCAACTTTACGTTCTTTTTCACAACCATATGTGCTATCTGTCTCCTCTAATATCCAATAAAAGGGCTCACTAATTTCTCGTTTGGGCATTAAATCTTTATTTTTATAGAATTGTTTTACTTCTGTTGATAGACTTTTATTTTCATTTCTTGCGTTAATGCAAAAATTTAACTGATCAAAATGCGAAAGTGATTCTAATGATCCGTGCGTTGATATTTTGCGAACTCTACATGCGCCTTTTCTTGTAAGACCGTTGTTCTTTTTATTAGATAACAGTACTAAGGAATCCTTTTGTTTAGCTGGGTTGTTCTTTATAACTTTTGCGTACAATTCTTCAATGTTAACTCTTTTATTATCGTAGTTTTCCATTATTTCCCTTTAGATATCTATTTGTTAAAGTTTGTAAGTTTTAAATATTAGTTTTGATTTTTGTTGACTTGTGTTGCACACTTAAGTTTTATATTTAATAATCTAAATAAAACATATTACGTTAAACTTTATGACGTTAATTGCGACGTAAAAAAATTTTAATCAAAAACAACCATGTTTTTAATAAACATGGTTTCTTTTTTTTTTCATAATACACGGGTTTATTTTGATTACGTCATTATAAGCTTAGATATATGCTCGTACTTTATTTAATTTATATCTTCATCATGGTAAACGTCAATATAGTAAAATCTCGTCTATAATTGAATCAATGTTTTGTTTAAAATTTTAAAAAAAAATACTGACTCATTTATAGTAATGAGCTCACTTAGCTCTTACATATTGCGGTAAACTAAATATATTCTTTTTAACCACCGGTAATCTAGCATAATAGATATCTTATGTTTTATAATGTGCAGCCAAAGATATCAAGAGTAACTATGGATTTAATAAAACTAAATAGCGTAAGTATGAATAAAATAGAATCCATACTAGGAAATTATTTTTTTAATTTTATTTTAGTAAAGTATCAAACACAATGAGTTATATGTTTACTAGTGACACATGTTTTTTTTTTTTTTTTTTTACAGCATCTCACAACCAGTCTGAAAAAGTCCTCAATTTCTAAGATATTTAAGCACATTCAAATTCTGGCGAGGAACTGTCACTGCTTACCCTTACCTCCCCCCCGTCATCCGTCCCTGCTCATAAAAACATCAAAACATTGTTTATTGATTTGAAAACTGAACTTATCCAAACTTTGAAATCAAATAAATAATGAGTTAGCGAGAATTCTTTGACGTTACTTTTTCAGTTTTGAAAAAAATCTTCTTCCTATAAAAAAATATTTCTAAAATGTGCAAAGTTACATTTTTTATTATTTAAAAAAAAATAAAAATAAACTAATTATCAGGCGTATTTTTTGAATATCAATATTGAAACTAATTGTTGAAAAAACTTTTTGGAAAAACAATTTTGGAAAAAATAGAATTAGTTCTCCTTTGAAAAATTGCTTTTTATATACTTTTGTGTGTGTGCGTTCATAATAGTTAAATCAAAAAAAGAAAGTTTAAAATTTCTTTACTTATTTATGTTATTGAAAATCTTACGTGGATAGTTCGCATTATTATGCCGGGTAAATAAAAAAAGCAATTGATTTTAATCAGCATTTTTGGAGTTATTGTTCAGCTTTACGTAAATAAAAATTTGAGCAAAATCGCTCAAATTTACTCCAAAAATGCTGAATAAGTTGTTTAGCTTTACGTGAATAAAAAGTTAAGCAAAATTGCTTTTTATTTACGTGAAGTCGATCAATTACTGAGTAAAAGCGATTGCTTTTTTTTTATTCACCTGGTCTGATAAATTAAGCAACTAGCAAAAAGCTTCGAAAGGTTATATAAAAAGAAGTCCTAAAGTCTATACGTATGAAGTCCTAAGAAAAAAACATTCAATTCTATTACTAGTTAAATAATTGACCTATTAATTATGAAAGTAGGGAAGGGCACTAAAAATCATTTTTTCGACTTTTTTGAAAACCTTTAAAAGCATTATAATAAATTGAAGATATATTCTAATATGTTTATCTAATTGCAAAATATACTCTTGATAATATATAAAACTTTAACATAAAAATATTTTTTCAAATTTATTTTAATTTACCTCTAGTTTCTTACATGGCTAATCAAGTACTTCATGATGTATTAAAATAACATGCAGCTGTACTGAAATAACCGCTGGTTATTTATTGGCTGAATCAACTCTAAACTATTCAAAACAGCTGAAAATAATAATGATATATTATAATAACATTATTTATAACATCTTACATAAGATTTAAAAAGTTAATATAAAATATATAATATTTTCTTTTTCTGTAACTCTAATGAAGTTACTCTTTTACCTTTTTTTTAGCAGTTTATTAATTGTCAGTGAGTCGCAAGTTTTACAAGTTCAAACCTTTTATGGCGTGATGTTTCACAATTGCAATCGCGTAACGGTGCATTCCAACAATTAATAAATTTTTAAAGCAATTAAAATTTATAAATTGCAAATATAGCATTGAAATCATGCATTTGCAACATTGTTAATATAAATAATAATTATACAAAATGTATCGAGTAAAATAGGTTAATTTTGCTACTTTAGAACTTTCGCTACTAATCAATGTATCTCTACTTTTATAACTAAAACTTTACTCAGAAATAAGATTTTTTTATTATTTGAAATTCTTTTAGAAGTAAAACAAACTTCTTATTAATTTATGGCAAAAAATACTTGTTTTTAAAAACTTGATATGAAACTTAATTGACATAATATTCTTTAAAAAAACAGGAAATTTCAAATTCTCTTTAAAATCGAGTTATTTATTTCTAAAAATTTTAATGATCAAAATATAAATTTTTAAAAAATCTGTATTTTTTTTTTTTTTTTTTTCTCAATTAGAATTTTATTATTTTTTTATTCCAAATTCAATTTTGATCGGTTCCGAAGTTATTATCGAAAACCTAAATGGAGAAATTTCGCTAACTATTTATATTAAATAGAGATGCGATTTGATTAGATAATATTATTTCCTATTTTGCATAATCCCAGTGGGCACGGAAGTAAAAAAAGACGTCTTTTAAACGTCTTATACACGTTTTAGACGTTTTCTGAACGTCTTTTGAACGTTTTGGACGTATTTTAAACGTTTAAAAGACGTCTTTTTTACTTCCGTGCCCACTGGGATTATGTATATTAAAAATATTGCAAATGTGTGATTTCAAAACCATACTTGTAATACCATTGCAATTTATAAAAGTTAATTGCTTTATATATAATATACAGGTTTCTATCATAAATTAAAACGCAGTCTATAGCAAGAAACTCATGCTTTCAGAGCTATACAATGCACCAGCACCAATACCACCACCAGCATCAATACCACCACCAAAAAATCCATCAACGTCTTTACAAATGATTGTGAGTCGTGATGGATTTGATGGTAGTTGAAATGTCATTAATAGCATTTCAACTACCATCAGTTGTTACTCCTCAATTAGTTCCAGAAAAAAAACAATAGGCAAACCAAGTAATTGGTTTACAATAATAATAAGGGAAATTCAAAAACCAACAGCAAATAGAAATCAAAATCTTAAAAAGCGAGACAAAGTTGTAGTCGAAGGTAAAACGCGTTACATAATCATTGATTATTGAATTACTTTGTATTCTGAACCTGTTTTGCTTTGAGTAACAAAATTACTTTGTTGTGTCTTCTTACCCACCTTGGTCGTTTTTCGATAAAATTATGGTTCAAATTGATCATTTGTTGTCTTCAGCAATTAGTATTAACAGCTTAACCAGGTTTTAGAAGCTTATAATTCATCACATCTTTCTGATCCCACCAAGCAGAGAGTATTGCTGTCTTGCCGAATCAATCTGGTTTTGCAGTCGATGTTTATAATTATCTCGGTTTAACCCAAATTTTTTTTCCATTTTTTAAATAAATACATTTTTCTACTCAAATAACAAACAATGCAAAACTGATTTTCTTTTAAGTCTTTGAAGCAAAAAACAAGTTTTTTTTTCTGTTTTTTTTATTCAATTTATCTGTTTTTTATTCAATTCACTCATTTTCCACACTTTTAGATTGTTCCCATAGCTTTTAAACGGTCAGAAAAAGTCAGTTTTTGTTCAAAACAAATGTTTCCTATCGACACATTTGTATCTTAAAGCTCACTTTATATAAAGCAAAATGCTAAAGCAAAAGTTTTTAACTAGAAGTTCAGAGTTTAATTGTTGAAGCATTGCTTAATCGTTGGATAATATTATATAAGATTATAATATTGTAAGAAAAAGTTTGTCTAAGAAATAAAATTCAGAATTGATGTCATTAAATCACTACCAATGTCCGTGATACTAGCATCGTCCGTGACAAAGCTTTTTATAGGTTCTTGTATTCAAATTAAATTTAAGTTTTGTAACAATTGTTCAAACAAAAAGCCAAAATATTTCTTTCTTTCAACTTGTTTCTCCGCGCAACGGCCTTATTTGTCAAAGATTGTGTTTCGGAGTTACAGAGTTGAGAGAGGGTTCTAACCACAACTAAAAGTAGCTTCCTCGACTGCAGTGGCCTTCATGGCCTTAAGGAGGCCATGAAGGCCACTGCAATTGAAATAAAAAACCCAAAAATAATTATCATTTACTGGAAAATATAATTTTATAATATCATTTTAAATTCAATACAAAAGATAATATTTTAAATAAAATTAAAAATCAATAATTTATAAACAATAAAATTTTAACTATTGAAAAAGTAAAAACTACTAACAAAATGGTAAAAATTTAAAATTCATTAATTGAGAAACAAAATAGTTAAAATTCAATAATGGTGACGCAAAAAAGTTAAAATTCATTAATGGTGACGCAAAAAAGATATTGACATTGCTGAAGCACCATTTTAAAGTCTCAATGACATTAATGAAAGAAAAAAAAACTAGACTCAATTTTTGTTATACAAAAGTATTTCTAAAGTTGCGATTGATTTAAATACACAAGTTAAAATTAGTTGGTTTCCAACTTTATTACCCAATACTGATCAAATAAAAATACAAAGTTGATATAACATAAAACTAATTTAGACGTTTCTTTTTTATCGACATAGTTTGATGGTTACTGTCAACCCTACAATAAGGTGATGCTTTTTTTCATTTTTTAATGAAACTTTTTCCATAACATGAATAAATATATTCTCAGAAGAGTTTAACAAAATATTAAATATTTCAAAGTTTTTTAATGTCAAAAAAAAAAGTTACTTCATAGAAATAAGAAAAAAAATATTTATCAGAATTATTTAAGTATAATTATCCTTTATATTTATATTTTAATTAATATTTATATCATTTTTAAATTAGATGAAGGTAATAGTTATTATATTTTAAATTTATCTTAACTATCATTGTGGAGTAGAAACAAAGCGCTTTTATTTAATTTTCTGATTTAATAGTTATAAATATATTTCCATAAATATGTCCCACATAAGTGTTTATCGAGCCTCAAAGAGAAAGGCAGACAACTCTAGACTAAAAGAATCGAGGAAGCTTCTGGCTTTAGCTGCTCCATATGAATAACGAACAAAAAACATGGCTTACTTCAAGACTATTTCAAAAACTCGGCACATTCTTGGCTACTATCACCATTAAGTTGACATACACAAAATTATTACTTTTTTTGAAAATATATTTACTTTGTTTTTAATTAAAGGCAATGTCAAATGCTGTGATGTGTGCAGAAGCTGAAATCTCTACCCAGAAAGGAGTTAGAGTAACTCGCTCATTAAGTTATTTTCATGATGATATTCCCACTTAGAGCTAGTAAAAGCTGGTAAAAATAGTTTGCAAGCCATAACTCTTTTTAAACTTAAGAAAGTTTTGTCAGTTGAGACATACTTTATTTTTTGATGGAAAAGCTGTGGCACCATATGATTACAAGATTAAGAAAGTAGAACTTATGATCATTGCCCTTCAGTTAGTGGGACCAACATTTTGGTACATTGGCATCAAAATACTACATACTAGTGGAACTTTTAAAAATCTAGCAGCTATGATAAAGGAAACATTGTTAGAGTATAATGTTCTTGATAGAATATCCCTTATCTTATGCGACACCTGCTCTGTTAATACTAGTTTGAAAAACTAATATTGTTATCTATTTATAAATATGCATCTGCAATAAGTAGTTAAAATTTGTTTTAGGTGGAGCTTATGAATTTTTTAGTGGAATAATAGGGATTTTACGAACTGACCTATTTAACAGTAATGTTCGGTATTAAGGGTTTTTGTTTTTAAAAAAATAGTATTTTTCTATTTTCCAACACCATCAAAATCACCTGCTCTTACTAATTCTAAGTTTTTAAAAGAAATAAAAGATAAGTACCCACAATTAAAAGAATTATACTGTTTTTATACTGTTAAAACTTGGAAAGATTATTATAGAATATTGGCTTGATTTGTTTCATCAAACTTTTTCTTTTTCAACGTCAATCATATGTATACATTATATATCCACTTTGTGTATGTATTATTTTCTTCAAGTTATGCATCACAACCACACATCCGGTATTAACCATCTGAGCCAATTCCGGAATAAATCACTCAAAAAACAAAAATAAAAAACAATATAATAAACTAAAAAAGTTTAAGAATCAAAACAGCATAACCTAGCTGGCGTAAGAACGCCACTTATATGAAAGACATACACATCAAAAAAACATAGAAAACACATCAATGAAAGACGGCGATGCAAATTTTGAATTTTTGACTTTACAGTGCGCCAAAAAAACACCTGTTGAATGAGAAGCACTGCATATAACTAAATAAAAAGTGATGCAAATATAGCTTATAGTCTCACTAAAATCTCAAAATTTCAGTCTGATTGGTCAACTGGTTAAAGATTTATGGCAGTTTTATTTCAAGTTTTGTTAGTTTTTTTCTACTTATACCTCAAAATATTACCAAATATTGTGATATTTGGTCACTTTTTTTAAAATAATGTTTATATGAGTGTTGTACTATTTAATATAAACAATTTTTATTATAATTATTAATTGGTACATGTACCATTTCATTTTATAGACCAAAGTGTTTTTTTCTTATTTTAAGTGTTGTTTGACATGGCTTATGCATAGCGTAAAAATCTCAGCATTTTCTAAAGTATAAAACTACTGTCAAAATGCATAAAAATGCTGAAAATTTTTTTCTAGTGATACTTACATGAAAAATAAAAAATATTTATTTCTCTTAAAACAGAAAAACTGTGAATAAAACAAACTTTTTTATATTAATTCAGATAATTGACTTTTTATTAAAAAAATTTATTATTATTTTATTATTAATTTTTAAAAATTTTTTTTATTATTATTAATAAAAAAACTTTTTTTATTATTATTAATAAAAAAATTATATAAAATTGGAGGGCGAGTCAGAGGATAATTAATCTTTACAAATTAAGGTTGTTTTGAAACAAAATTTGTAAAAGTTAGATGTAAATAATTGCTGAGAGATAAAAAGAGAAAATCTCTATCAAAAGAGAAAGATGTCATAAAGGAAAGAACAGTTCTATGAAGGAGAGAATAGTTCTTTGAAGAGCAGTAAAAATGCAGTCATTCAAAAGACAATCATCAGAGGATTTGATTAAATGTTCATATTTTGGAAATCATCCCAACGATAGAATTACAACTCTTATTTGGATTTGTCAAACACTTCTTCAAGATCCTTAAAACTGCTTGGATAAAAGCTGCTAAATGACCAGCTGTTAAATGTGGAGGATATTTAACTGAGCCCATATCACGGAGGCCAGTTCAAGGAAATTGAATGAAGACAACTACTTAAAAATGTGCTGAAACATCTCACTTTAAACATCCACATTTTTAAAAGAAAAAATCATGGTTCCCAACATTGCTTATATAATTGAAAGATCCAAGTACTTAAACTTAGCTGTCAAGGGTTTCTTTGGATTTATCCTTCAGCCGGATTTTACTGAAAAGCGTACCCCCAAAAATTCACACTGCTACACCAAGGATTTCATCAGTTGCTAAGCTTCCCCTGGCCAAAACTTTCAGAGCTCAACTCATAACAGGAGCATACTAATATTAGGATTGTCCTTAATCTAATAATTAGATCTACAGTCACTTCCGTTATATCAGCAAAGGTTTCAGCATTTTCAAATACTCTTCTAGCAGAGTTTCCAGAGACATAGCTCCTCTCTAAACCTCAGTTAAAAATTTTTTACTTAAACTTTTACTGGTGCTTTTTTAGCAGGGGATTTGGAAAAGTATTTTACAATAACAATTTTTTGCATACCAATTTTTGGTATGCTTTTCGAACACCTTAGAACTTTTAGATGACGTGGTCTTGTTATCTAGAGTTTTCCATAACGAGATGGCTCTAGATATATTACAACATGTATCCTAATATTTGGAGCCATTTGAAGGTAGAATCACTTTTTTGTTAAAAAGAAGTTTAAAAGGAAGGTTTTTTGTATTGATCATAATTTCTGGATTTAGACAATTAATTGATTTAAAAACTTCAATCATAAGAAAGCGCAAATTTTTTAAGTGGATCCTTGGACTATTATTAAAACTTAACAATTCATCAAGAGATGAGTCAAACCTTTTATGGACAATACAAAGAGCTATTTTTTGAATTCTATTTATAAGGTTGTCATAGTATTTAGAACAAAACATCAAAATTAGGAGACTATAAAAAAAAATGACATTATGAAAGCGTTAAACAACAAGATAGCTTTATTGCGGGATAAATTATTTCTTATGCGTGAAAGAGCAAAACATTTACCATTACTGCATACGTGTTTAATGTGTTCTCCAAAATTTATATTCTTATCAATTGTAGAACCAAGTAGTTTCACCTTATCAGTCGCAAAAACTCTCATATATTAATTATTTTTAGGTATTGATTTCTTGTGTTTTTTAAACCAACTAAAAGTAATTGGAATTTATCAGGGTTGGCGACCAGCAAGTTCAACATAAACCAGGCAATGGTATTAGTTATTTTTTTTTTGCAATCAAAAAAAACCTTTTCTAAGCTGTAATCACAGACATACAGCGTATTACCATCTGCAAAGTTGCACAATTCATGCCTCTAATTTAGCAATAAGTAGATTATGCGGAATGAAATCATAAGCTTTAGAGAGATCAATTAATAATGTCCCAATAATACCTCCATTGTTAATGCCTTTATGCCACTTATTAAGTAAAAAAATAAGTGTATGCTGAGTACTATAACCTCTACGAAAACCACACAAAATTTTTTCAAATTTTGGCTTCATAAATAACAAAATTAGTTCATAAACGATCAATTCAAAAACTTTGGAGAGAGCGGTTAGAATATTTATAGCGCGATAGTTAGCCTTATCTGTTGGGTCATTTTTCTTAAGACACGGTAAAACATCCGCCATTTTTAGAAATGACAAAAATGTTCCATCTAAGATGTTATTGTTGATACAATCTGTAAGACTATCCCTAAAGTGTGTTAAGTAAGCTTTTAACAAAAAAGTTGGTATTTCACCTCTTGTTTTTTTTTTTGTTTATAGACCCTATAATTTTTATAATATTATCAGGTGTAATACAATGGGACTTGAAATTATGTGCATTCATTTTGAATTTATTTTTGATGTTTGTTATACTAGATGGTCAACATACTTTTAAATAGCTGACTCAAGTCAGATGGTCACACTTTTTAATAGCTGGGTCTGAAGTGCACGAAGAAAAAGACCACTTAATATGGTATAAACCTTTATAATCAAACATTTATTAAATCTTTTATCAGCAATTCAAAGTTTTAAATAAATGTGCACTCTTTATTTTCAAATATTTTTTGAAAATTCCTCGAATGTCTTTTAAAAGACAGTGCAAACCTTCAAACTTAGCTAATTATCTTTTAACTGAACTTATTTTATACTTTCTTATACACCATCTTTAAAACAAAAATAAATAATTAATTACGGTTTTTTATAGTTAGCAGATATTTCTTTATTTTTTTACGTTGTCCGTATTAGTGCTTCAATACCGGTAGTACCGATACTGGTATACCGGTAGTACCGGACTTTTTCAAGTACCGAAATGCCGGTATTGGTTTGGCTCAATACCGGTATTAAAAATATATGTAGAGGGCTTATGATATAGCAGATGGAAAAGCCCTCTTTTCGCAAAATACAAAATTAAACGACATATTTAAAACTTTCAGTCGCGATAAACAACGCTCCTGGTGGGATAAAGATAGCTAAATGACAAAAAACGTGTTTAAAACGTGTATAACACGTATTACTAAATATATTACTTCTTAAACGCGTCTTTTATCCATAAGTAGCGACTAGCTAGATATTCGCTGGCTAGTCGCTAGCTCATTTCCTACCGATATATTTAAATTTAAATTTTATTGTATGATTTTATTTATGGTTGCTTTTTATATGTATTTTTTATTTCTTACTTCATTTTCTTCATTATTAATACTTATATCTTTTCAAAACTTATTTTGAAGAAATATAATATACACTAATCATCGTAACCAGATGTTGTTGCTATATAAGAACAAAAAATAAAAGACGTATAACATTTTATCATTCGATTGGTCATTTATAATTATTTTGAAAAGATATAACAGTACCAATGTTACTTGTTGTTGATTCCCCTAAAGAATGCAAAATAAAAAGAATAATATGAAATAACACATTAAAATTTAAATATAGTTTTATGATTAGATAAACTATATAATAATCTATGATTGATACTTTATAATTATTTTGAAAAGATATAACACATAACATTTATTGGTACCAGATTTTTTTGGTAAAATATGTTATCATTTGATTGGTCATTTATAATTACTTAAAAAAATAAAACCTTAACTTTCAAGTGTTGATACCCCTAAAGAATGCAAAATAAAAAAAATAATATGAAATAACACATTAAAATTTAAATATAGTTTTATGATTAGATAAACTATATAATAATCTATGATTGATACTTTATAATTATTTTGAAAAGATATAACACATGGTACTAGATTTTTTTGGTAAAATATATTATCATTTGATTGGTCATTTTTTTTTTTTAATTATTTAAAAAATATAAAACCTTAACATTTCTAGTGTTGATGCAACTGAAAAATATTAAAAAAAAGATAATAAGCAAATGTCACCTAAAATATTTGTGTAATATAAACATGTATTTAAAATATACCCAGCAACGTTGTATTTATGTTAAAGTTGCGTTTTACGTTACTTAATCCTAATTCAACGTTGAGTCAACGTAATCTTTTTAACGTAATATTCTTACGTTGAACTAACGTTGACACAACGTTAAAAAAACATAAAAATATTAACGTAACATTCTAACGTTGAGCTAACAAACGAACTAGTGCTTCCAATACCGATACTATTTTTCAATACCGGTTTTTCAGTACTGAATAATTTCAATACCGGTAATACCGGTATTATACCGGTATTGAACTTTTTTTAAAATTTATCATTATATGAATAAAATCTCAAGTTAATACTAAAAATTTCATTGATTCAATAAGCTTATTTATTTTATATCAAAATAACTAATTTTTTTATTTTTCGCTTTTTTCTCCTTTGTAAAATGAGCCCGTGAAAAACATAGGACGTTTACAGTATCATCCTCAATTGATTATCTAATTTTGTGATAATGTTGCCTCTCGCTGAAAATTTACGCTCCAATTCAACATAAAATGTCAACAATTTTTGATCTAAATCAATACTTTTTTCAGCAGGCAACCAACCAACAACTCTCGCTAATCCAAGATTCCAACATAAAGGGTGTTCAATCTAGAAAAACTGAGAACAACGAATTGTCGCGTTGATTTTGTAAGAAATCGGTGATCAGAGGTTTGGATTTTTTGTCCGTTGATAACGGTACCATTAAAAAAAACCCGATGATGATGTTGCATCTTGGGACAATTTCCTATTCAGCAAGTCAATTTCATGTTTACTATTTGTTGTTTCATGTAACTGTTCCTTTTATCACAAATCACATTTTCTCGCTTTTTTTTGTGTGTGTATATATTTATACTCATGTATGTGTATATTTGTACTTATTTATGTGTAAGTGTGCGAATGTGTATATAAATTTATATATATTCATTTTTACTTTTATTTTGTCTATTTATGATATTACGTATTAAACGATATCTTTTTTTATTTTTTGAATTCTTGTAAACATTTATTCAATTTTTCTTATATACTATATATTCTTCAATAACTTTGTAAAAAATTATAAATTGTGACACGGTGCTCGGTGATAAGGCAAATTAATGCCTTCTTCTTGATCCGGCCATTAACTTAATTGTAAACTTTTGTAAACTGTAATAATTATTAAACGGCAAAAATATAATGTTAAAAACATGTTTAGTTTTTAGTTGTGTATTCAGTAGACTGGTCTTACATATATTTTTAATATCGGTATTGAGCCAAACCAATACCGGTATTTCGGTACTCGAAAAAGTCCGGTACTACCGGTATACCAGTATCGGTACTACCGGTATTGGAAGCACTTATACGGACAACCTAAAAAAATAAAGAAATATCTGCTTACTATAAAAAAATCTACCGTAATTTAATTGTTTATTTTTGTCTTAAAGATGGCGTATAAGAAAATATAAAATAAGTTTAGTTAAAAGATAATTAGCTAAGTTTGAAGGTTTGCACTGTCTTTTAAAAGACATTCGAGGAATTTTCAAAAAATATTTGAAAATAAAGAGCGCACATTTATTTAAAACTTTGAATTGCTGATAAAAGATTTATTAAATGTTTGACTAAAATAGGTACGCGGAAATAGCGATTTACAGTACCGAATTTTGTGCTAAAACTCTGTGACTCGTTTTTTTGACGTTTTTTTTAGGTAGCCTAAGGCAAACGTATTTTTGAGGAGTTTCTTTTCAAAAACATATATAAACATAGTATATTTTTGGAAAGAAGAAGAGTTAAGCTTGTTTTTATGTTATTTTTACGTACGGTTGTCTTACCATTTTTTGGAGCATTTGGCTTATGAAAAATAGGTTGGTGTTTACTTATCAAACTCTTGTCGAAGGACTCTTTATTCCGCTTTTTTGATTCTTTAAATAAGTTTTTACATGCATTTTCTTTGCACATACCAAATTTTATTAAAAAATATTGTGTAGCAGATAGTTGAATTAGTTTAGCACTTTTGGTACCTAATTTCTGTTTTTCCGATTTTTTTTTAGCGGATTTTTTTTGACTATTTTGCTCATGAAAATTATGTTGATGTTTACTTGTTAAATTATTGTTGAAGGAATCTATATTCCGCTTTTTTGATTTTCTAAATAAGTTTCTACATGCATTTTCTTTGCACCTGCCAAATTTCATGAAAAAATATTATGTAGCAATTAGTTAATTCAGTTAAACACTTTTGGTACCTAATTTCTGTTTTCAAAAATAGCCGAGGTGGGGCTGAGGGGGAGAGAGTTTTTTTTTTTCTTTAAAAATGTTTATTGCATATTGTTTCACTTAGATTGTTAGTAATTAAAAAAATGAATAATATAAATGGACTGGGTAATCAAACAGATAGTAAGTTCATATGTTTTTTCATAATAATACTATTGTTTATTACTTTTACAAGTATTTTTTTGTTAAACTTTTAAAAATCATTGACTACTCGGTGTAATTAAGGCGATTTACAAAATATTCGAATACTTTTATTTGGAATTAGCATGATTTTGTCAGCATATTATGTCCAAACAAGATCTTTAAATGCTATAATTTTTTTGCTCAAAGTTTTTATAATATTTAAAGAAACTTTTCTTTTTTTTATATAATTTTCAAAACCTTTTTACTACCTGTAATAGTGTATCTAAAGAACACTATTTTGGAGTTTATAGATCGATTCCGCTCATCGACATTAATATAAATTTAGTTGAAATCTTTTAAAAAAGTTTTTTAATTTACTACTGATCCTAGTTTTAATCGGTTTTGAGGTATATTAACTATATATAGTTGTCAAAACACAACATTTCTATCAATTTTCACAAAAAATACTGGAATTCCGACCAAGAAAGAGCTTATAATTATGGAAAATTGCCAATAAACAATCAGAACAGATCATATTGTTAAACTATAATGTTCATTTCACCTAAAAAACTTGTTAATATAAAATCTTATTTAAATTTAGACGAGCGATTGTAATTTTAAGATGATTTTTTTTTTAAAAAAAAAAGAATCATCGGTCTGGATTTTTTCGCTACAAACATTTATATTTTATTATACCGCAAAATTTATCATTTTAAGTTTTTTCGTCTTTTTATAATTCACAGACCAGACCATTTAACGGAAAAATGTCGCAGTCAACAAAATATCATACAGACGCTCTATTATTTTAAAAGTGCCTTAACTACACCGAGTAGATAAAACCTATTCAATACTTTTTTTTAAGTAACCCCTAATTTTTGTTATTTACGCCTTTATTTTATTTGTTATTTACACAGTACTTTTCTTTGCTCTTTACAAATTTGTTTTATTGGATTTGTTGCCAAAAATGAGTATTTTTTTTTTATATATTACACCTTTTTTAACTTTAGCTTCATCGTCATCTGATGCAGTTGGTAAGTTAAATAAGTATTTTTTTATTAAGTGTTTCTACTTATTTTTTAAAGCTATACTATGAGTTTAATACTTTTTTTATTTTATTTGATTACACCTTATTTTTCTTTTAGTTTTATCAACATCTGCCAGTGGCAAATTTTTTCAGATCTGTGTAGAGTTAATGTCGAAATTAAAGTTATTTTGGTTAACTATTTTACCTTTAGCTTTTTCACTATCTGCTATGGTGGTAAGTTTGAAAACTTTTTTTAAAAAACAACTATGTATAGATTTTTTGGCAAAAACTATGTATGCTTTGTTCTTTACAATTTTTTTTACCTTATGCTTTATCTACATTGAGAACATTTGGTATGTTAATCTTTTATGATTTATCTATTGTATAATACTTAGTCTTTTGATTATTGTTTAAATCATTACACAAACATTTCTAATGTTTCCTTCTTGTTTAGATGCAGACTTACTATTTCATCAGTTTTTGAGATTCCGTAAGTGATATATGATAGTGATGTATAGTGATATGATAGTAGTGTATAGTGTATAGATATGATATGATAGTGATGTATAGGTGTATAGATATGATAGTGATGTATAGGTGTATAGATATGATAGTGATGTATAGATGTATCGATATGATAGTGATGTATAGATGTATAGATATGATAGATAATAGTGACATATAGGGATGACATAAACAATATAAATTTCAATGTTATTCATAATAAAATAAACATTTTGATGCCTTAAAAGTTTTTTAATACAAAAGATATCTTTTTTATAATCCACAGTTACTAAGTTTAAAAGCTATTACTTTTTAATCTCTGTAACAATTTAATGCCTAAATCAAATATTTTTTTGGTTGAGTACATCCTTTTCACAAATAGTAAGTTTAAAACCTAATTATTTTTCAGCAGTGTTTTGATTTTTCTAAAAAAGTCATTTATTTTGTTAATTACATTTTTTTTTTATTTTTAGCTGCATCTACATCTGCTTTGGTTGGTATGTTAAAAAACTATTTCTTTGTTCGCAGTGCATAGTCTATCTCATTAAGTTTATACTATAGATTTAATCCCAATTTCATTTTATTTTTGTTGTTTACATCATTTTTTAACTTTAAGCTCCTGCAGCACAATCTTCTGCAGGTTAATGTATAAATTGAAATATTTCTTTATGATTGTTATTCGTTTTTGAAAAACTTTAATGCTTATTTATATTTTATAAAAGTATTTTATTTTAAACAAGCAAATTCTAAATAAAAGTTTTTAATTTTTTTTTGTAAGGGTTTATATAAAATGTTTCATAATGCTTTGAAATCTTAACTATCAGTGAAAAGATGAATTTATACAAACACTTATCTGCAAAACAACTTGAAGATTTAGATGATGTGATGTCTGAAAGAATTGTTGGCAGAAAACTCTGTCATAAATGGTATGATACTGACTCATCAAAAACTATCATTTACGATGGTAGACTAGAAAAAGTAAGCAAAAAACAAAATTATAGGATTTACTCTTTCTTACTGGAAACAAGATAAAACTGATATTGAAGCTGTTGAGCATAAGATGAAAAAAATCCAGCTAGCTGCTGATGTTGTATTAGATGAGTTAACATTTTCTTAGTTTGAATATGAAATAATGTAAAAATGTTTGAAAAAAAGGTTCTGCAAGTTTTGTGGCTTGCAAACAAGTACTTCAAGGTTTGTGGATTGCAAATAGATGCAGCACGTTTTGTGGTTTGCAAACAAGTACAACAAGTTTTGTGGCTTGCCATTAGGTAAAGCAATTTTTGTGGCTTGCAAATAGGTACAGCAAGTTTTGTAGCTTGCAAATAGGTACAGCAAGTTTTGTGGCTTGCAATTAGGTACAGCAAGTTTTGTGGCTTGCAAACAAGTACTGCAAGTTTTGTGTCTTGCAAGTAGGTACAGCAAGTTTTGTGGCTTGCAAATTTTAAAAGAAGAAAAAATACAAATGTTTCACTCCATCACTGATAATAAATATGAAAATATTTTTCTGTGTAATTATCTTAGCATTAATTATCATATTTGTATTACCAAAATTCAAAAAATTAAAGTTTGAACATATTTAAATGGTATCGAATTTTCAATTAAATTTTAGGTCAAGGGCGCATCCAGGGCTCCGGAGGGGGTGCTAATTCACCACCTACATTTTTTTTCATAAAAAAGTGTTTTTCTTTTTAATTTACAAATATCTGTATACAAAAAATTGTTATTATTTTATTCCACATCACTAGTGAATATTACAAGTCTATCTCAAAGTCGGGTGTTGGGTTTTGAATAAGGTTTAACACACCCTATCAAAATTTTATTCTTTTAAATATTTCAATCTTTGCTAAAATAATTAATTTTAGTATAAAAAATAAAAAATATATTTTGATACTTGGAAAAATAGTAACTAGTGGTGTATAAATTGACTTCATGGAATGGGGTGTAAGCCACCCCCTTCTGCCTAATACCTAAAAAAAGTTTTAATGAGAATTGAACAAAATATGTTTAAAAATGCTTTTTAAAAACATATAAAATAGTATAAAAAACTATTTTACCACGTTACAGTGGTGTATAAATTGCCTTCATGAAAGGGGGTGTGAGCCGCCCCCTTCCGCTCAATACCTTAAAAAAAAGTTTGAATTAGAATTTAACAAAAAAAATTTAAAAATGCTTTTTGACATAAAATAGTATAAAAAACTGTTTTACCATGTTACAAGCAAATAGATATAGCAAGTTTTGTGGCTTGCAAACAAGTACTGCAAGTTTTGTATCTTGCAAGTAGGTACAGCAAGTTTTGTGGCTTGCAAATTTTTTTGATAGATGGCTCTGGCTTACCTTCACATGGTGTCTATCATTAAAAATGATTTATTTAGTTCATAAATGGAATTCAAAGCATAAATCATTTACTAAAAGCTAAGACAATAGTTAATTACTTTTTTTGTTTCAAAACACTTGCTGCTTTGTGTTTTTTTTTTAGGTTGGAGTTCAACAACAAACTTGCTTTACCTAATGGCATGCCACAAAACTTGTTGTACTTGTTTGCAAGCCACAAAACCTGCTGTATCTATTTGCAGTAATCTTGATAAAACTGTAATCAAAAAAAAAAAATTTTTGATTACAGTTTTATCAAGAAATCCATATATCGAAGATTTGCTATTTAAAACTTCATAACTTTTGATAGAATTGTCTGATTTTCATAATGTTTTCACCTTTGAAATACTGTATTTGAGGGCTTTCTAATGATATATAACATACTAGTATTTGATTAATTTAAAAAAATCAGTTAACGCACCTAATTAAAGAGGTTTATTTTAGAAAAATAAATATAATATTGGTTACCCTCTAAATATTACCCTGCTTATTGAATAAATATTTAACAGTAAGTATTGTATTTCTGAATAAATATTTTATAGCAGTGTTTACTTACAGTTTTTTTCAGATTAACCATAAATACTAATTCAATTCCATTTAAATGTGATCAAATTATAATTTTTTGAATTTTGATAATACAAATATGATAATTAATGCTGAGATAGTTACACAGAAAAATATTTTCATATTATTATCAGTGATGAAGTAAAACATTTGTATTTTTTCTTCTTTTAATCTCATTTTAATCTTTAAAGGGTTATGCAACTATTTTATATTGCTTTAACAGAATCAAAATTTATTGCTAAGTTTAGATTTTTTAATAATAAGAAGGAGTAACTTGTCGAATATTTTACTTTAGATGCAAGGAAATTACAAACGAATATCAAGTTAGTTAGAGTCTAATGCTCATGCAATTAAAGCTGCTATGGTAACCCTTTAAATCTGATAGTTACTCACTGAGCAATATAGTATAATATTTTAAATCAAATTAACTGTGGAAAACGAATTTCAATAAACTGGTCAATTTGCTTATATTTCGACAAACAACGTAAGTATATTATTAATGTGAAAAGGAAGATAAATTTTTCAAATATCTTCACCAAGCATCTGATATGCATAAAATGTTTAAAAGAATCAAATTATAAAGTTAGTAAAATAAAATGTATTTTAAAATTTTCATTTATAGAAAGTATAGAGAGTCTTCAACAAAACCTCAAATTAATGATCATATTGCAAATATTGAAAGGCCTCTTCATTGGTAAATAAATGTCAAACAATATGTATGGAGAATGCAAGCAATTGTTAAGAAGTTATATTTATTATTGTTTAGTTTCTTTTTGTATATTTATAGTATATACTATACCTGTAATCTTCTTGTATATTCAAAGTTTTTAGTATTATTTTGTATATTTATTTAACTATGTTTTAGTTAACATAATCTATTTAACTTAATAATTTCATGTTAAACTAATAAACTGGAAAAAAATACAACTGATATTTTTTTGTAAACTAAAGTTTAACATTAATATTTTGTTGTTGAAAAACCTGTAATATCTGATTTTTATTTTCAGATTTTATTTTAAGCTAGTTTTTATTTTAGCCTAAATAACCATACCTAATAAAGGCTAGCAAATGCTCTTACTGTCTTTCCAAAAATTGTTTTCAGCTTTTTTTTGATACACAATTATGACTACTATTAATTATTACTATATAATAAGACTTTTAACTTTAGGGTTTTAATTATGATACAAACATTCAACTGTGTGATTTTAATTATGACAATTATATACAAACATTTAACTATATGAGATTAATGAGCTATCAAGTAAAAAACTTACTTTGATCAAACGTAGTTTGATTAGAGGATAAGAATATTAACTCTTCAAAGTTTAGGAAATATAAGAATATTAACTCTTTTAAAAAAGTTTTTACCTATTTTTTTAATAATAAAAATTTAGGTTTTCTTATTATTATTATTTTCTTTCATTGTGTTCATTTTTTTTTCTTATCTTATTATTGTTATAACAAGATAAGAAAAAAAATAAACAAGAGAGAAATCAATACTTGAGGGAATGGTGCCAAAATAGTCAAGCCTTAAATAATATACTTGTAAATAAAGAAATCGACAACTCATCGAATGTCAAATCCAATATTAATGAAGTCAAGAATTGCATTGATTTCAAAAAAATTAAAATTAAGAACTATGGTGACTTTTTATTTGTGTCTGATCATAAAGATACTTCTAAAACAGAGAGTTCTGATCTAGACTCTGAGGCTCCTATGAATAATGTTAATGAAGATCTTAATGATGGAGTACTTGTTACAGAGATTACCAAATGGATTTTAAAACACAGAATAACTAGAAATGCAAATGATGAACTGTTATTTTTATTTTTATACCAGTATGGTCAGCATGTTGATTTACCAAAATGCGCAAGGACAATTTTAAATACTCCTAGGAATGTTCCTATTGAGTTAAAATGTGGAGGTGAATGTATTTATCTTGGTATTTCAAACAGCATATCAAGAACTTTAGCAGTCAACTAGCTTTATAGATTTGAGTCAAATACAATTTTTTTAGTTGTCAATGGTCTTTCCTTATTCAAGTCATCAAACACAACGGCCTATATTATTTATGTTTGACAAAGGTATACCATTTATTGTATTATTATTTGTTGGTGATAACAAGCCAAATAATCGTGATGATTTTTATATGATTTTTTGAATGAGTATGAGTTATTATTGGCAAATCGTTTTCAATATAATTCATATAACTTCAATTACATCTTGAGAAAAATTGTTGAAAATGTACCAATAAAACATCAGGAAGTGTAAGCGTAATTACTTTCAATAGATTGAGTACCTTGAAGAATTTTATGAACTTGAAACCAGATTAAAAGACAACCGGGAGTACTGTAAATTGGTCATTTATATTTATAATTTTTATTTTTAAAGTTTGTCTGTTTGATAGAATGCTATTTAATTTCATCATTTTCTCGGTGAACCTATTTAAGTTTCTCTCTCATTTTACCATAATATGGTGTAAAAGGTAAATTAATACTTAAAATGTTAAAGGTAAATTCATACAATACATAAATCCAGAATTATTTTAGTGACCTGATAGCCATTTACATTCTCTAGAGATTTTCAGTCTTGTATTTTTTGGTAAATGATTTTGTCTTATATTTGGTTGAGCAGCTATTTTGTTGCTTTTATAGAAAACAACTGTGACAAATAACCAAATGAATCCAATCCTGTCATATTTGAACATGAACTTTTCACTAGACTTTTATTTATGTTTTAGCTTTGTCACCTCAAGAAAGCAGGTGGAAAAAATTTTAAAGAAAATATTTAAAATGTTATGGTCAGGTATGTATTTTTGTTTAACTCTGGATAATCAAACTGTTTAAATTGTGAGTAAATTTAATAGAAAAATCTAGCCCAATGAAAGTAATTTAGAAAAATAAACAATTTTAAAATTAATATTTGACAAAATCAAATTTGCATACGAGCACCTAAGTTTAATTGGTAAATAAACTCCTGTGGTAAGAAATGTTAAACACAACTTTTCAACAGACCAAATCATTGTTCTATCATAGCCTAAACATGATGGGCCAAACATAACATTTAAACTGTTGCATTAATGAGAATTAATTGCATATTTCTGCTGGCGGAACAAACAATTTTCAATGTATAAATTAGACAGCTTTATCAACTTTTAAAAAGTCTTTTAAGAAAACTGCCCCATTTATTTAGGTTCTCCCCTGCTGGTTTCAGCTTTAATTCAATGTCGAAGCTTTGAATATAAAACATTTATAAAAAAGTAAAGAACCTTTCAAAATTATACTTTGTGAATTATTACTCTAATGTGAGTTTACAATTATTTGAATAAGTTCGCTGGATCGATGTAGTATAACAAAGTAGTTATTTTTCATTTATTATTTTTTATTACGTTTTTATAGAATTATGGAGCATCATGTTACGGCCAAGTTGAATATAAAAAGAAAAATTCGTGGTGATATAAAGAAGGTATCATTCGAAGATAAAAAGTTGTGTAAAGCAAAAATTGGTACGTTAATAATAGCTCAATATTGTTTTTTTATCCCTTTTTCCTTACATATGTTTATTTATTCTTAGATATATGTTAGTCTTGAACGTTGAATGTTAGCGTTGAAAATCAAACAAATAATCAACTATAAACAAAATAAATTTTTAACTGTTTACTGTATCCCATGTTGTATTTTAGAAGTCATCCAGCTAATGCACGAAAGTTCGACGGAAGCAAACAAAAGATCAAATAGGAAGCATTTTAAAGTTCTCTCAATTGAATAATTATTTATTTTTAAGTTTTTTTGTAAATTTATAATACAAAAGATTATATAATACATCTTTAATAAAAATCTGATTAAAAATATTAAAAATTAATTTATTAAATATTTATAAAAGTCTTATTAAAAATATTTATTGTATTTTTAGTTTAAATATCCCCAAAAATATTTTTCTAACCCATTGTAAGGGGTTAAAAACCCTTATATTATCTTTGAATATTGATTGTAATTGCGTTTAACATCTAATGGTAATATATACGGTTATATTTATATAACAACCATGACACGAAGCCGCGTATGAAGGGCTTTGGCTCAGGGTTAAATGAATATAACTATAGCTATATTAACATTAAATATTACACAATTACAATCAATATTTTACGTTAGTATAAAACGCCACTGTTTTTTCAGCTTGTATTTACATTAGTATAACGTTGATCTAACTTTAGAATTTTACGTTAATATAACGTTAATATCTAACGTAAATCTAACGTAAGAATTTTACGTTACAAAACCTTTCCATTTTGCCGAACCGGCAACGTTGTACTAACATAAAATCTAATGTAAATATAACGTTAATACAACGTTGTGTTCCCGCTGGGTACATGTAACTGCTGGTGCAAACAGAAACAAGTTTATCGTATAATTCTAGATGCAAAATTTTTTGGTTAAACCTTTATATAATGCAAATCAAACCGTTTAACCCTAATTTACGACAGCATTAATTATTATCAAAATGCAAAAATAAACTTTTTATAATCATTAAAATTAAAGCTGCTATGGTAACCCTTCTAAAAGAATCTGTATGTACACACACGCACATACAGATTCTTTTAGACATTTACAGAACCTACCTAAGAATAACTACCAAAGGCTACCTGAAAATAAGCTGCCAGCAAAAAGGGATTGGGAAAACTTCATATAAAAAAAAATTTATATTATCAATTTCTAAATCTGTTAGACTTCAGGAGGTGGTAGCAAAAATAATGTTTCTTTGTATTTCAGTAAAAATGTTGAATGATGTTGAGCATGATGATCGAGGGTCATAAAAATTGAGATGGAGGTCATTTGTTAAAAATATCAAGTTCTTGGATATCAACCACAAATTCTAGTGATTGTTGCATTAAAATTTGATTTGAGTACTACATATCCAAGCCGGATTTCAAAGACGTCATTTTTGTGATAAATTTTCATTAAAAAAGTGCAGAAGTTATGATTTCAATTTTTTTTTTAATTATTCATAAAATAATTTTTTTTTTGCCAGTATGTTTAAGATATCTTGACTTCTACGTCAAAAAGATTTCACTTACTTAAAGTGAAAAAAAACTTTCAAAAATTATTATAAAAAAATGCAAAAAAATGCAACTTTTTGTTATTTTGAATTCACTGTTCGTTTAAAAGACACCTTCTCAAGCTAATCTAACTCAATCTTTATTAAGTTTTGGTTAAAGTAATACCTCATAAAAAAAATTCAGCTGCATATATTCATCCATTATGATAAATTTTTAGCTACTAACACGCAACCTTTTTTTTGCTCTAATATTTTCAATGTTTGTAATTCGTATAAAATAAATATAAATGCGAAAATTTTTTTATAAATACCAATAATTAAGTCATGTTGCTAGGTTAAAAAAATTTACATTTTTGTTTTAAATGATTTCATACGTTCTTATTTTTATCGTGAAATTTAAAAAAAAAAACGCATTTTTTTGTTTGTTATATTTATACCGCCCATGGGATAAAAACATTTTTTATTTTATTTTCCTATACTACAGACAGGGCCGGCGCGAGTAGGTGTCACGTGGGGGGTGCCATTATCACTTGCCAACAAAAAAAAAAAAAAAGGTCCTCGTTTTCGAAAATTTGCCGACTGCCATGACGACATTTGCCGACTAACTGTTTACATTTGGTCGAAATTTTCCGACTAAATAGTCGAAAAAGGGTCAAATTTGCCGACTAAGGGTCAAATTTGCCGACTAAAAATCTTTGATGGGGGGTGTTACACCCCCCACACACACCCTTCGCGCCGGCCTTGACTAAAGATGGTATATGACACTCTTAAAAAAATTCACTTTTAAAAAATTTCAATCGTTAACAACAATTTTTTGAGTATTATTGGAATCGCTTTATTTATTTCCATAGAAACGAGTTTCTATCTTAATCAGTTATGCGAAAAACATAATATGAATAAGATTATGGTACAAAAACAAAAATAATACTTATGAATTAATATAAAAATAACATTTATCAAAGTTTTAATTTACTTAAAATTACTATGTTAGTTAATTAATATTATTCATAATAGTACTCAGGCAAATCAACATCCCTATTTATCAAGTCTATTATTCAAGTCTTGTAATAATCCACTAAAAAAGGCACTTCCTTTTTCGTCTGCCTCTTCTTCCGTATCGATCTCTTCTTCTTCGTCTGCCTCTTCTTTCTTGTTGATCTTATTTTCTTTATCACTTTCTTCTTCTTCAACTAACTTATTTATTTGGTTTGTAATGGGTTAGGGTTAGGGTCAGGGTTATATATATATATATATATATATATATATATATATATATATATATATATATATATATATATATATATATATATATATATATATATATATATATATATATATATATATATATATATATATATATATATATATATATATAAATGCGTGTGTGTGTTTGCGTGTGTTGAGACAAACGATTTAGATTCCATACTATCTCTAACTGGCTTGTTAGAGTTTCATATTTGTAAAGCCAACAGTGTACAATTTAAATATGTACTTTTGCATCAGTCAAAATTCTGCATACTGAACATAACATTTCATAGACTAAATTTCTATGACTATAAACGTATACAGCATGGACAATTTTAATACAGCATGTATACAGAAAGGATAATTTTAAAATTTAGGCCCTGAATTGGTTTAATTTTTGAAGCGCTCGGGAATACAACAGTGGAAAAGATTTCATAAACTTATTACTTTTTATTCAATTATCAAGTATGTCTTACTAGTGTTATATTTTCCAGCAACAACAATAACGGTGAAGCGATAGTTTAGTACATTACTTAAGAATAAATGTTTTTTTCAGTACATACTTGAAGAATAAATAGTCCAAATTTTAATGTTTAGTTTAAAAAAAACTAAAAGATTTTAGCAAAGAAAAAAACTTTTTTATTGCTAAGCTTTTTATATTTTATCATCCCATTTTAATATTTTATAAACAAATTTTTTTGCAAAATTAATTGGATGAATGTAGAAATGCGGGGCAACATGGCAAATAGGGCAAGATGGGTTTTCATATAACAACTCAATAAAATATCTTAAAATTAGGTGAGACCGAAACTGTATTTGCATTTTGTACTTTAAAACACCGATTGGTTTTTTGAAATATTATTAACGCAATATTATACGCATAAGTTTACTTTTTGCGCTTAAAAAAAAATTCCTCACTTTCGGTTTCTCATAATGGATGGTATCCTTTAAGTTTAACTTCTTTAGAAATAGCTTTTGCGATTTGTATTTATTTTTTGTTAGATAAGTTAGAGTTATTGGTAGTTTTTAAAATTGGTAAAATTGTAAAATGGTAAAATTTTTACCTTGGAGCAATTTTTACCTCCATTTTTTAAATTAGAGGTAAAAATTGCATAATAAGTCATCTTGCCCCGATCAAGTGACCAGCTGACAAATTTATGAACTTTTTTATTTTAACATTTATTTCAAACTGTTATATTTGCAAACGGAAAATTCATGCAGGCAATGAATCATTTTAATAACATAAACTAATCAGAAAGTATTATTGGTTCACGACTGATAGTTTTGCAATAACTCAGGGCTTTCAAAACATTCGCCATGTTGCCCTGCTTTCCCCTATATTTCTCGGATTATTTTTATGTTCACGTTATTATATTGTTGTAATTGGTATCTATTTTTATCATGTCTTGGAGTTGTTTGCAACTATATTTTTATTTACTTCGTATATTTCGAACTTTATGTTTATGATATTTATATTTGTATATCTTTACCGTCAACCTGTGATTGATTACTTGTAAATACTTTGTAGTCGTAAAATCAACATGTAATAGCAGTAAGCAACCCGTAACACGCTTTGTTAGTAAATAAAATTAAAAAAAAAACCGCGTATAGAAAAGCCTAGAAACTACTTTAAAATAGAAAAGCCTAAAAATGACGTAATTCGACTAATAATATTAAATTAGCGTATTAATATTATCAGATAAAAGAAAAAAATATATATATATATATTTTCACTTTGCCTGTCCTGAAACAGTTTTGAGCCCTTGAGCAATTATTCTTTGCTCCTAAATAGTACTGACCCAAATAACCAACTTAACTGGGTCCCAGCTGGGATTGACTTGGATTGAGCTGGGATTACTGGGATTGGGTTCGAGCTAGGATTTGTTTTGGGTGTCGGATGGGTCCCATATGGTGTAAAAATAATGCCGCAAATAAAATCTGGGTTTTTACTGGGATTGGCATGGGGCTTTCATAAATGGTTTACGGCTGGTTTGAAGATGGGACGCGTCGTTTAATGGTAACGTGTAGTTTCCTATAAACGCAGTTTTTTTAGCATCGTTTTTATTGAAAAGTTTTGTTGAAATAAAATTACAAAACTCTTTTTAAATGTCATATTCAGTAACGCGGCTTGATTTAGATTTAATATCCACTTGCATTTAGATTTAATATCCACTTGCATTTATCCACATAAACTTCGCTTGGTTTTTTTCATTTTATTTTTGTAAAAAAATATTTACATATCAGTTTTAATTCTATACTAAAAGTATAAATATGTTAAAATCAATATTTCGTCATCCATTTATAAAACTATTTCACACACCAAAAAAAAGAAAAAATGACTTGCTCTCAAATTTCTCAAAAGCCTTGCATTTAAAAAATTTGAGATATGAAATTTTATACTGAAATTCAGACTGAATTATTTCATAATATTTGACTGAAATGTTTCATAATATTAAACTTGTTTTTTTTTATGCTCAACACAAAATTTACATTGTAAAAACTATAAAAAGATAAACCACAAAAAGATATGCAAA